CCCATAAAACGTCTAAAAAAGATAAAAGACCAAAGGGAGAAAAACATTACAATTAGTATTTAACATTGCAAAGCAAATACTTCAAAAATTTGCAAGACGTGCTATGATTAGTTGTTCACAGATTGCAAGGTGAGAACTTAAGTTAATAGCTGTATTTGCAATGTTCCAGCTAATGTCACAACATCAAGATTTCATGGTAAGTATATTAATTATCCTACTATTGCAGAAAGCTCCTATCACTACAACAGAGATCAGGTCAAAAGTTTCTCTCATTTCAGTGACCCTCACATGCTTTTTAAATTTTTTCCTGGATCCATTTGTCCGTGATCAAACAAGACGATGGTTCATTACTTGCACATTACATTTATGAATAAGCTGTGATGAGTTATTCCAACTTTGGGGAATACGCCAGGATCCTTGGCACTTTCACAAAAACTCTTTTATGATATAGCGAACATCTTCCTCAATCCCTCATCTACATTCATTGTCCAACACCACACAATATTGCACACATTGTTTCCTCCTAGCCACTTCAGCTGCTGCAGAGACTCAGATCTAACACACTACAGAGAAGGGTCTCTGCTCTAAGTTAAGGTAGGATGCAGCCACCCTGATGGTCAGCGACAGAAATCCCAGCAGCAGCGTTTGCCCTCAGAAATCAGAGGCAGCAGGCCTGGGGAACACATTACTCATAGTCAGCAACAACACGGGAGAGCAGAAACAGCTGTAACCCACACACGCACTTTCTCTGATGCTGACGAGAAGTTCCAGCTTATGCCAACAAGCATACAAAAATTGGGATTACATCACTATTCATTAAAAAGGACACTTTCATGTCACTCTCCAGGGCCCCCAAGCCCCAGAAGGTGCAAGTGAGAGAAGCTGTACTATCTCAGAATCACACTGTTATTGCACATTGAAGTTGGCTACCTCAAAGAGCTATTAACAGAGAGGTAGTGGGTTTTGGCATCAGAAAAATCAGTATTTGGTACAAAGGCAGTAAAAAAGCATTAATGCAGGGATTACAAAGGAGTAGAAGAAACTGCAAACATGCTAAAATAGTGGCCAACTTTGAGAAAAACATCATTTCTAAACAGATCGTTCACAACTGCCTTTTCATTTTTTTTTGGATCTGCAGAAGTTTTTCTAAGTATTATGCTTTCCAGCTGACCTAGACATCATCATGCAGACCTCAGCCCGAAAGACAAGGCCTGAACACCCCTGGCTGCATTACAGCCAGTAATTCCAAAGTTCTGGTGTTTCCTGTCCAAACAAGTTAGAAGCTTAATCCTTACAAATGCTAGCAACAAGATGTCAGTGCCTACCTCCTTTTGGGTTGCTTTTTACTTACAAGCCAGGGCAGCAGAAAACCAACTCAACACAAGAGTGCCACGAGGTTTAAACTCTCTTCAAACATTTATGTGGAGACCATTTAGTTGGTTCATCATAAAAAACAGCTTTGAAGACAATAAGTGCAATGGCCTTTCAAGTCAACACAGCAATTACTCTGCCAACTCATGTTCACATCAATAAGCATATGGAAATTAAAGTTCTCCTAGTTAAAACAACTTGGTCATAGGCACGCCTCTGACCACTAGGGCTCGGTGAAAGAAAACAGATAAATAAGCCGTATCTAACACAATGACAAACTTGTTTTGTCAGATCATGCAGTACTGTTATTCACACTCAATTTTATTTTACTCTTGTGATTTAGAATAGCTCACTAAAATTCTTTGTGTGTTGCCTGTATCAGCGTGCCACCGACTGGGGAAAAGCTGAGACAAGAAGTCTTACCTAACACTTTAATAAAGAATAGTAAAATATTCAATTAGCACTTCCAGGAGCCAGACAAGGCAGGCCAGCTGCCAGTGAATAAGCCATGTTAAATGCCCTACTGTGTGATGCCTCACTTGGAAAGGCATGCTATACAGGAAAAAAGATGCATGTGCAATAATGCTTATTTTCATTTCAGGACTGATTCCCCCCTCCAGAACCGCCCAACATTTACAGAATCTACTCACATGGAGGAGTAAATCAGGAGAGAGCATCTACACACTGTCCTGCAAATAGTCCATACTCAGGATAGTGTGACATTCCTGTTATATTTCAGCTACTCCTTTTGTATCTAGGAATGTATCTGTCCTGCATTTAAAGTCATGGAAAATTATGCCATTTTTGTTTCAAGTTGTCCTTAATCTTCCTCTTCCCCCTGCTGGTCAAAATCAATTTCTAAAGTGGTCTGGCCACTAGGTGGTTGAATTAACCCAGCAGGAGTGGGACTTTCTTCCAAAAATAAATCAGTGTAATATTTTTCACTACACAATGATACATTAAAAAAAAACAAAACACAACCAAAAAAACCCAAACCAATCCACATGACAGCATCACAACAGGTTGATACTTTTATTTACATGGAATGCCTTTATCTCATTTTTGCAAGTGTTTTAGTGGCCACCATACACCAGGCTGTTCATCCACAGAAGCAATGGCCTGCCACATACCACTTTTAACTTTTTTTAAAAGCAGTCACATAGAACAAGGTCTGCAAGTGAAAAAAAATAGGTTATTTAGACCAGGGGCCTACTATCAGCGATGGTCACAGCATTATTTCCGTTTTGAAGTTCAGCTGTAAAGCTTCCCATATTCAGTGCTACTGCTAAGCAGGAGGAAGAACAACTGACCAGACCCCATTGTTAATTTACTGCCAGACAAATGCTCTACAGCTCTAGATGCAAAGTCCACTAAGGTGCTGCTCAGACTCATATGGAATGAATGTGAACTTCCTGACATTCTTCATCCTGACATGGATGAAGAACACATAGGACATTGCTAACAGCACCGTGAAGCCCATCTTTCCCTCCTCTCCCTACCTCCCTTCTCAACTTCCTCAAGCAAGTACCAAATAGTGAGCTTTTTGCCTGGGACCTCACTGTCCCTCCAATAACAATAAATGTGTTTACTTATAGTTAGATATGACATGCTAACACGTGAACATGCCTGCATGTGCATACTTGCACGGCTAGTCTCAGCTGCTCTAAGAAGTTAATTAGCATCATACAATTAGGTGATATATTCACACTAGTAAGTAGTGCATGTTTGTATTTCCCCAAGGCAGAACCTAAGAAGTGCATATCCCACACCTGGAGAAAATAGGGGAATGAGGGTCTACTTTCAGCTGAAACAATTGCTGCCCCACAGAAATGAGCGGTCTCTGAAGACAAGAAGTGGTATTTCTTCTAAACCCTCTTACCTACGTCACATTCACCCTCCATGAAGGATAGTGGCTCCCTCTTACTTGGTTGTGACTTCACCTCTGGTGTTGCTTCCACTCCTGGACCACAGGGGAGCCAGCTAATCCAGTTCAGGGATATCCTCTGGCCACAAAAGCTGTTTGCATTTTGGATCTATCCTTCGCCCTCTTCTCCCTCACCTCCTGCAGCCTTTCTTTCCCAGAGCTGACTTCTACAGCCATATCTTGCAAAGATATGTATTTTTTTTTAAGCATAGCAATGGATTCTCTAGTTTTGCAATCAACCCCCCATACCCCCCAATCCAGGTCCCCATGCATCATCCTGGATGTTTCACCCTCAAGTACCAGGCACCTGGGATAAACTGCCATTTAACTGAGGTCATCCTCACACAGCCTTTTTAAAATTCTTTCAAACTTAATGAATTTGAACACATCCTTCAAAAACTATGCTTCTTGTTACCCTTTCGGACAGGCGGACAATATTAATGCAGTCATTTTAACTATGGAGCCGGATGAGTGGTTCTAGGGCATCCTTGCTTGTGTAACCAAACTCAGCTCTGTAGAACAAGAGCAGTTTTCAGGAAATGGGAAGCTTAAATTCTAACCAGTTTACATAAAAACACCAGCAAATCGCTTCTGGGCTGAGACAGTAAGCACAAAGAGAGTGGGTAGAAGGACTTGACAACTCAATCTCCAGAGAATCGCGGGAACGCACTGAAGAACTATCACAATTCAAACTCTAATCCCTGCCTGAGCTCCATCCTTGAAGCTATGCAGGTTGAATCCACGTGGCAAAATCTAGACCTTCTTCAAATAGTAAGGTTGAGGAAGTGAGCCTACGTTGCAAGTTTGAAATAGCAGCTGACACGAGTTTGGCCTAAAACACAGGAAGATTTTAGGTTCAGTCTACAGTGAATACATACTCTCTTGGTCCCTATTTGTTTCCTCTAGAATTTTGATGGACCCTCCTAAAAGGAACAGAAAAATTAGTTTGCAAGCAGCAAATAAGAGGTAGTCCCTACCTTGCTGAACCAGAAGAATTCCTGCTCTCACAAACCCTACGGTAAACAGCACAGGATGGCTCTACAGCTCTCTTCTTGTTTATGGAAAACCCTCCACAGGAAAAAAAAAAACACACACTTGCCAAAACTCCAGCCTGTGCAACATCAATCCCCTACCCCCACCACACACACTGTAACAGTTACAATTTAACTTGTCAGAAGTACAGTTGCCATAACTTGTTACAACATGATTCAGTTTGGGTTTTTTTGCAGGCAGTGAAGTGCCTGGGCAGCCATCCCACACCTCCTCAAGAAGCAATCCCCAGAGGGCTGCCCAGAAGCAACAGGAGCAAGCAGAGTGCTTGTGGATGTTCTATTACAGACAAGTAGTACTGGCCCAACTAGTCACACAGACTTACCAGGCCAACAAAATTATGCACTGAATTTGCATGGAAAAGAAAACAGCCAAACACAGCACCCAAGCCTCTTAAACTAATTATGGGGGAAAAAAAAATTCTCATTTTTTAAATATCCAGCAATAACTTGGTATGAAGTCCAATATCAAACAAATGACAAAATATATATGTAAGGCCATCTAGCCATTCCACATCACAAATCAATTTTCTGCCATATTCATAAATGAAAATATAAATAGCACAAGCAATTTGGGAAGTGTTACCACAAAGCTTCAACATTTTGATGTCTTTGCATGTGCTTAAATCTACACCTTGTTTGCTTTCTGTAAACAGAGCAGTGCCTACCTTTCCAGACCACGGGAACAAACTGTAATTGCAAGCTATCAACGCTGGATGAAGACCTGAGACCAGTTTTGTAATGGACACAACCGTTATGTTTGGATTGCATTAAACTCGGAAGGAAAACAATCATCCTCTATTGTCTCGAAACTGCCTACCCACCATTTGAAGCCCAGCTACTTATCTCACAATCTGCCTCTTCCTGTCTTACCCTCCCTCCTGTATTTCTTTTCAACCCTTTCAATTTTTTTCTCATGCTTTGTTCATCAATTTGTGGAGGAGAGGGGAAACTGCACCAATTATAGCCCAGTGAAGTGTATGGCTTTTCATATCTTGTTTTTCCTAAATATCAATTTAGGATCTTTTTGGCTTTGGGTTTTTTGGTTTTTTTGGGGGGGAGGTGGGAGGGGGTGGGGGGTGTTTGGTTGTGGTTTTTTCTATTGTACTCCTCTCCATCCAACCTTGTTCATCCAATGACCTTTACTCCTGAGGCCAGCAGAAGACCATCCCTTACAAATCTCCCTAATAACAGCTGTGGAACTATAAACGTGCCCTCTATCCACAACGGCAGAGCTCTTCCCCCAAAACCAACAAAGCTTTATCTCCAGTGCTACCCATTATTACAGCTTTCTGTCTTCTTTCTTTTTTTGTGAGGGCAACAGTGGTCCGCCCTCCAACACCCCATTCCTTTTTTCTATTCTTTTTCTGCAGATATTTCTTATTTAAATGGACAAAGCTTACTCCGTACCACCGCTCTGTAACTTCTTTTCACCACTGCCAGAGAAAGCGCTCTGGAAGAGGCAGAAGCAGCTCACCGTGGGCTACAAGAGCTGAAATGAACCTCTTTATTTCCCACCCCATCACCTGCCGTCTAGCCCTGCAAAACACCCCAGTCATCAAGGGAAAATAAAAAAAAAAAATTAAAACCAACAAAAACCCAAAACCTACAAAAAACCAAAAACCAAACCCCGTAAGGGGGGGGATCCAGCCCTGCCCACGCTCAAACGCCGCTTTCCGGAGCGCTGGGCCAGGCCGGGTGGGGGCTACCGGCGGCGGCAGGCAGGTGTCCTCGGCTCAGCTCCGGCCACCAGCGGCCGAGCGGCGACCCCTCCCCGCCTCTGCCCACCCCGCCGCCC